TTCCGTTTATGGGTGAAATGGGCAAATCATCACTGATTATTTCATAAATTTTCAACTTGAGCACCAAGGCTTTTGAATAGTTTCCAACTTATTTATCTTTAAAAACACAGCTGAAGTGACAACTCTTTCAGGAAGCGCTCTTTGATCCCGGAACCCGGCAGTTGGTAACCCTCCTCCATCCTCCTCTATGCCTTATTATACTTGTTACAGCATATTTTCTGTTGTGTGGTACAGACTACTAATTGTCTCCCAATATCTGTTCTCCCTTCTATAGTAGCAGGGTCTCTGATTTTCAGCTGAGTACATTTTATTAGGAAATAAAAACATATCCTAGCCTTCCCTGCAGCTATGTGAGGCCATGTGCCATGAAGCAATCTAGGGAACAGCGGCCACCCATGGGGAAGCAACAAGAAGACAGCAGGAGCTTTAGTCTCTGAAACCTTGGGGCACATGTCAGCCCTGCACTGCCAACCTGGATTTTCACAGGACAGAGAGATTAATTTCTATGTTGCTAAAGCCATTGTTACTTGGGTTTTCTGTTACTTGCAGCCAAACCTAATCCTAACTCATTTTTGCTTACATGCATGCCTCCCTTACCACAGAGTAAAGGAACCATGCTTCTTCAACTACTGCATAGCACCGTGCCTGGAATATAGTGCTGCCAGACAGTGTCTGGGGTCTGGACATATGAATGCAAGAAAGAATAAATGAATGATTAACAGCTGGTTGGGGGAAAGTCCAAGGTGAAGTAGAAGGAAGACATTGTGCCTATGAGGAGGTGCCTTTTAGCGTCAGCTTAAGACAACATTTAATCTATAAATTAGTGAGCACCTACTTCATGCTAGGCACAGTGTCAAGTGGGTGATGTTTTTATGGTGGTGAAAAAGACAGACAAAAACTTCTGCTCTCATAGAGCTTATTCTAGAAGGGGGAGACATAATAAATAAACAAGAAAATATCAGGCAGTGCTATGAGGAAAACAAAATTTCTTGATGTAGTAAACTACTTTACACTGGGCAGTGAAGGAAGATCACTAAGAAGGTAGCATTTATGCTGAGACCTGCATGACAAGAAGCAGCGCGGGTCAGGGAAAGGGGCAGTTAATGCAGAGGAACAGCCAGGGCAAAGGCCCTGAGGGAGACCTTGCTTGGCTTTTTTAAGGAAGAGGAAAAGGCAAAGGGAAATGCAGTGATTGAGGATGAATGGTACGAAGTAGGCAGAGTCCAGGACCTATGTGCCAAATAAGAAGCTGAATCTTATTCTAAGAGCAATGGGAAGCTGCCAGAGCCGTTAAGCCAAGGACTGATATGTTCTGATTTACATTTTTAAGGAGTCACTCTGGCCCCTGTAAAGAGAATGGATCATCAGAGGGCAGGAATGGAAACCAATGATGTTTTGGTTACCTACTGCCGTGTGACAAACAACACCCAAAACTTAGTACCTTAAAAGTGCCATATTAGTTTGCTCACTACTTTATGGGTTAGGAACTATGGGAAGGACTTAACTGGACAGTTGTTCTCAGGTTCATAAGACAGCAGCTGGGGTGACTGAGGTTGGAGGATTCACTTCCAAGGTGGTTTCTTCACACACAGGTGTGATGTCCAAGTGCTCCTGGACCTTTCTCTTTCTCCACATGGCAACTCACTCTCTATGGCCTATCCATGTGACTTGGGCTTCTCACAATCTGCTGGTCTCAGGGTAGTTGGACTTAACGTGGAAGCTCACTTCTAACAGAAAGGAAGCAGGAGCTCCTAGTCAGTTCTACTCTTGGAACTGGTACCATATTGTATTGCTTCCTCCATATTCATTGGTCAAAGTAGTCAAAGAGCTCACCCAAATTCAAAAAAAGGGAGGAGTAGACCACATCTATTGATGGGGAAGCAACAGGGTCTCATTGCAGAAAGGCATGTGTATCGTTGCAGCCACCTTTGTAAAATACAATATGTGGCAAGTGAAGAGGCCATTCAGTATTTCAGGCAAGAGATAATGGTGGTTTACATTGGATGTTTGCACTAGAGATGAGAAAGAAGTGGATTCAGAATATATGAGCAGAATATATGGCAACCATAAAGCACTAACAAATTCATCTGAGTATTTGTTCATCGAATTGCATTTTATAAGATTACATGGATGAGTCCTTCCCACCACCAATGAAGTAAAACAAAAATACATCTGGTCTATTCATAAGACATAGACATCATTGTCATGCTTCCAAGTGTGCTTTGTTTTAAAGAGGGTCTAGCAACATTACATTTTTGAAGGCGTCATAGGAATGAGTGTGTTTGGCCACAGAAAGACCTGAGCAGTTTTCACTTCACACATTCAGTTACTTGAGGAGACAAAGTTTTTAAGGTATGAGAGTCAATGTACCAAAGAGAGTACATGGAAAAGGGGGGTTTTTTGATGATAAAAATGCTGGAAGCTATTTTCCCATTTTAATACATGAAAGAATGATCCAGATACTTGCTCAGAGTCACCCAGTGAATAAATGGCAGAGCTGGTGGTAAAAGACATGTCTCTTGATTCCAGTCTGGGATTCTTTCCACTGTATCACCTGCCATTCTGCCCAGAACACAGCTTTGCTCTGTGCATGGTCATATTGAACCCTTGCTATTGCCCAACTGACTTTCAAATAGTGCCAGAAAGCTGGGAGAAGAAGCTAGGAACAAATCAAATCTGTTCCTTCTACTGGAAAAGCAAGTCTAAAATATGCTCTGCTAATTTTGACTCAGTTGTGTCTTTTTGAGAAATGGACAGCACATACATTCATATGAAAAATTGTTACCATGAGATTACTTACTGTGCTGCTACATGGCCCATAGAATATTTCTTAAAATTCACTGAGTGCCTATGATTCTGACATCACCTTATAACTCTCAGTTCTAAAATCTCTACCAAAAAAATAGCTCCAGACCACCAGGATCTTTGAGTTGAAAACTGAGAACAGCACAAGGTCTTTACTCTGTGTGTGTAGGGGAGGTACATATACATAATGAATATTCATATAGATGTATAACTTCTATTTCATATATGCAGATGCATGATTTTTGTGTTCTTGATATTGGAAGTGGGTAGCCCTCCACTCTGGATGTAGTAGGTAAGACTCATATGTGCTAAATATCATAATTTAATTTTTGACTACTTTTAATTTCTTCAATTTTTTTCTCTAACCAAATAACATAGACATAATTTGCCTCTATTCATCTTCTTTATTAATCAAGCATTCTTATTGTAAATAGAATTGGCACTTCATTGTATTTGCTAGGTTGAGATTAATGACCTAAAAATCCAGTGTTTACCCAAGCTAGGTTTTGTTTCACATTTGAGCTTATTTGGACAAATATTACCTCCCCACACACTGAAAGGATCTATAAAATATTGCTTCTTGATCTGTGTCTAAGAAGCAATTTGTTGGGCTCCAGTGTTGGAGGGCAATACCTCAGGACGGGTACTTGGGAATGTGTAAATCTAGCCTATGGATTTAGATGTTTGTTCAACAAGATTGTACCACAAAAACCTCACACCTTAATTATGTTTCACATGCTATATTGCACTGACAAGTTTAACTGCATCCAAGACTGGGCCAGGTGGTGTTTAAATTCTCAAATACCTTAAAATTTGAATGCCTCAAGCAAGAAAAACTGACTATTCAGAAAGGACAAGTTATAATATTTTGGGCAAGTCAAAATCAGAAGAGTGAAGGCTTTTATCCATGGATTTTAGTAGCACATTTATATGAACTTTTGCACATTTCAATAAGGCTTTAAAACAGATGCTTAGGCAATATTTTTTGGTAGGTCTTCATTAAAGCTTCAATATTAACTAATCTATTTTGAAAAATCCCTTACAGAACCCCAGAAACTGTCCTCCTCCCTTTTTAAAGCACTTTCTCTTATGCCTAAAAATTCAAGTACTCTCTTAACTAAGTGCAGACTGAAATATTTCACTATGGATTTGAACGAGAGCCAAGATTGACGATGAAAGGAAAACTTCTCTCTATAAAAGGTTTATTGTCAGCGCTTTCTAAAGATGTAGATTCTTCTAAAACAGGCTACCAACATTTTTACAAACATTGATGCAGCCTTCTCAACCTCTTCTAGACCTGTGATTCGGGTCCCTTTCTTTTAACAATGCTCTCTGCCTAGCCTTTGACCTTCTGGACAGCCAACTCTAACTGCTCCCTCCCCCATCAATATAAGGTATATTATAAAAAGGAAAGGGGGATGGGGCAGCTTGGTCCTCACGCTATTGGAAAGTACTTGAAATTCCTTGCATTCTTTTGCATTTAACAGCATGTTTACCTAATCACCCGCTTATTAGGATTAACACAAGTCATGCTTCAAGCTCATTCAGTGAAAACAAACTGACTCCTATAGACCTCAAGATATTTTCTCTGATATCAGCTAAGGGTGAATTTTTAAGTAGTTCTCCTAATTTTTAGGAATGACATTGGGAAAATACTAAGTTATAAACAAGAGACATTTTATAATACATTATCCAACCATGTTCAATCTTGCCCATGGATTTAGATGTGGGTAGCCTGGGTTATGAACTATTTTCATTTAAGGGTTTCTCTTCTCTACTGAAGTGACATGCACAATAACCTGGTGATTAAAATGATAAATGACTACTGTACACATCTCACACAGTGATGAAGACCCTTAAGCTTTGAATTCTTACGAAAATAAAGCATTATTTTTTTGAATGGCAAATTTAGCTTTAGAATCCTTCTTGTGCTTAGTACAATGCCTAGCATTCAATACACATTGTTAAACAGAGTACTTTATATCCAAGGATTTTTCTCTACTGAAGATATAAAAGCAATCATTGTCTTATTCTTATACCTTAGTTCACTGCTATATCCCAGTAAGGCAACTAGAATAATTCCTGACACATAGTAGGCACCCAATAAATCCTGTTTGAGTGATTGAATAGGTGACCTAGGTTGTTCCCAATGACTTTGGAAGGTGTCTAAAAATATTGAATGGCATACACTCAGATATTAGGTAAATATTTCTTTATTAAATGATTAATTCCATAAATAAATTCTTTTCACTGAATATAAAATTAAAATCATTTACAAATTATTCCAGTATTACATTTCCCCTCCCTCCCCAAAGCTACATTTTGATAAATAAAAACATTCAGTCTTAAAACACCTGATTTCTGTTTGCAGTTTAGAGTGCAGATAGCTGCCTCTCACGGACACTCACGGAGTGTCCCTTTCAGGAAGGAATGGAATGCCTTCCCAGGTACTTCTGTCAAAGGACGAATGAAGGCTTTAGCTGTCCAACTAATCTTATTATCTTTTACAATTAATTGTAGAACCAAAAAGAAAAAAGCCTAGAGAAAAATACGCTTAGCAAATAATTTACAAACAGAAAACAGAACGTCATCAACATCACAAGCTCCAAAATGAAGCAGTAACGTGCTCCAATACTATGAAGCAAAGTATTCTCCAATCGCGGCTGCATTTAGTGTCCATCTGCACCAGCACCCTTGGCAGTTTCGAAATACCTTAATACTACTCAAGAATGAGCAAGGCATCCCTTCTACAATGAGTCCCTTCACCCACACCGCCCCCACCCATGTCTCCGTGATTCTGGCACTCTTCTCCCTTGTTTGTCACCCCGTGCACTGGAAACCCAGGTAGCAGTTAGTCCCTAAATTTGTGAATGTCATTGAACAGCCTGTAGAAGGGAAATGCTGCCTCGTTGGCATGTGGGCAGTTGTAGTTGCATTTGCAGGACTGGATCATCATAACGTTCTTGGAAAACGTCTCCCCATCTTCGCAGCGGAACCGCATCTTCACAGTCCTGGTCTGTTGGGGTGTGCAGCACCGGCCGTCCACGCAGGAACCACAGTACTTGGGACGGTATTTCTTTACGCTCGAACATCCAGCGTAAGTAAACCTGACCGGTTCTGGGGATTTCTTGGTCTTGCTGCATTTTTTGCCCTTCTGTAAGAAGGAGGAGAGAAGGAAAGTTAGGGATGATATTTCTCTTTCTTGCCAAAGGGGTTCACATCCCACCCACCTCCCGGGGAACAGTCCACACATGTCCCTGAAAGAACTTACTTTCAGGCTGCTGTACACTGGCTGTCCACAAGGCCGCACCTCACAGATCCGGGTTTCTTTCACCAGGCGGCATTCAGGGTTGTCATTGGTAACTCGTGTGGAGATACCAGTTCCGCAGGTCTTTGAGCACTGCGACCATGACGTTGTTTGGACTATACATTTCTGGCCATGTAAAGGGTTGTATAGGATGCGAGGCTCCGTTCCAAAAACTAGAGAGACGAACACGAGGGAAGACTTCTCAGAGGCGTACTGACACACACGGATTCAAGTACTCGTTTTTTGTGAAATTTCAAACTATTAATGCATTTCGGTACAATATCTTAAGGGCTCAGTCTCGACTTACCAGGGAGCCGCTTTAGCGAGCCGCCTTTTCCAACTGCAATTAATTCATTGTTTCTCGTTAACTCCACCTCCGAGGCATCGAAACCCAGCCCCTTGCCGAGGAGGCCGTCCTGGTCGTCCATGGGGTCCTTGACACCATCCTCGTCACATACCCACTCCTCACAGCACTGCCCGGTGACTTTGACCAGCCGGGGGTTGGGACAGCCCAAGTTGGGGAGAGACAGTTCTTGGGGACACAGAGGAATGCAACCCACGGCGCCATCAATACATGTGCACTGATGTTTACAGTTTGGCTGGAAGCTTTCCCCGTTCTGGTAGATTCTGGAGTTATATTCACAGGGTCTGCCCTCTGACTGAGCTGCAAAGATCACCAGAAGAGAATGGTAGAAGAGGATAAAGTTAAGATTGCCTGAAACTCATACATATTTTCTGCTGTTAAATTCAATTTATGGTAAAGTTCCCTACAATTCCCCGGAGACTCCAGACCAGAACAATAAGTTAGTCAGGAATCACTTTTCCGTATGCGCTTTCGTTGGGCCCAGACACACTGAATTGCATTCCAGACTGCTGAAATCATGTGCCTTTCTGCCAAGCTACCAACAACAAAGCATCACCATACATGGTCTCAAAATTACTAAACTTCTGGACTATGGGGACTAGTATTTTTTTTTAAAGGGGCCAAACCACAAGCATCTTACCTCTGCAGATCCCCTTCAGAGCGGTGGAGCTGGCGCCAAAATTGCATTCCAGCCCCTTGGTGTGGTCGCAGGGCTGCGTTTTGCTGCAGTCCTCGTTGAGCTGCTTGGCGCAGACCTTACAGCAGCCGCAGCCGTCCCGGACCAGCCCGACTCCCGGCGCGCACTTGGGCGCCTCCAGGGGGCAGTGGCAGGCGGCGGGGCAGGTGGAGAGCGCCTGGAAGGGGGAGAAAGAACGCGTGAGACTCGGCGCGGTGCGCAGGAGAAGCGCGGTGGCTGTCCTGGGGAAGGGACGGGGGTCTCTGACCCTGTCGACGGGAAGCCTCGGATCCCGTCCAGCCCCGCTACTCCGGGCGGCTGCGCCCACCAGAAGGCCCCCGACACGTCTTCAGGGGGCGCTTAAAGCAACAGCTACCCCCAAACGGCCCCGAACTTTTTAGTTTAGCTTTTCCTGCCACGGGCAATCTGGGACAAGGGGAAGGGGACTGGAGAGCGGACGGGGAAGCGGTGGCAAAAGAAAAGTCCAACTCACCAGCCTGGTCAAAAGGAGAAGGGTGACGGCGAAGGCGAGCGCCCTGGCCGTGCGGGAGCTCATTGTGGCGCGCAGGAGGAGCCGGGGCGAGAGCGGCGGCAAAGGCGCCAACAAGCTGGTGCGCAGCGGACAGGCCCGGAGCGGCTGGTGGCGGCGGCGGTGTGGTGGGCCGGGCGGGCAGCGAGGCGAGGGCCGGGGCGGCGGGCGGGCTGCGGGCGTCCTTCGCTCGAAGTCCTTGCGGAAGAGGCGCGGAGGGCGCGGGTGCTGCTCGGGGGCGCTCTCGCTCGCGGTCTGCCCAGGCGCCCGGAGCCCGCCTTTTATACCGCCGGCGGAGGCGCCGCGTGTTGCAGTGACGTCGGCTCTGTCTGCGCGTTCCAGAATTCTCAAACATCTCAGGAATGCTGGTTGGCGCGGGCTGCTGCCAAGCGCCTCCCCTGGCTCCATTGCACCTTTTATTATTTTTTTTTTTTTTGGTTCCAGACCCGTCAAGAAAACAGTCCGTTTTTTCCACCTTAAATAACGACTTCTATTGGGGAGGGGCTCTTTTGGGCGTGATGATGGTGATGGTGGTTGAAGGGTCGTGGGGGACGGGGGAGGCCAGTTCAGAACTTTGCCTGGACTGGGAAGGTGGGAGGACCTGAGAGGGAGGAACAAAAGTCGTTTTGTTTGGTGATACGAGTTGACCGGGCAGCCACGGAAGCCCTTACCCGGGAAAGCAGCGAGCTGTTTGCTTGTTTACAGCGAAGGTGAGAGTCAAGTTATCTATTGAGGGAGTAGAATGGGGAGGGGAGTGTGTCTCTGAGCCAGGAATATTTGTGGACTTCAAAGAGGCATGTTCGGATCAAGTACCAAAGCTTTGACATGATGTTTATTAGCCAAGTTAAGTGTATTGCAAATTAATACCCACAGTGGCATTTATGAATGAGAAGGGGGGAACCTTCCCCCATAGTATGGCAAATTCCCAGGCAGAGGTCTTCCCTCCTCCGCCCCTCCCCCCCTTTTTGGTATGTTGTACTTGTTTGTTTTTGGAGGTTCCCACTTTAGTTCCAGCCCACTGCCTGGGTTGGAAGTCCGAGAGGAAACGAATGCAGGGAGTTCTCCGAGAGGCTAACTTAGACTTCCTGACGGATGCGGGAGACAGGGTAAGTTCTCCAAGCCTGCCTCCGGGGGCAGGAGGCAAAGCTAACTGAGCAGCCCGCCAGAAGCAGAGGGACCACCGTGGAGTGATTTGGCGTGAAATCATCACCTGCAAGGCCAAACCAGATTCCAGCACTATTATGCCCAATGAATCTTTGGAAAACGCAGACTCCTTAAAGCTGAAAGTTTTGAAGACCACTTTCCTTTCCTTAGGACCAGTTGGAAGCCTCCTATTTAAAGTGAATTGCAATGCACTTCTCTCCAAGTACAGAGAAATGAGACATTTAGGATGTAATATCCTGTAATAAAAATGTCAACAGATTTTAAGATCCCGCTCTACCTGCAATGGGACTCAGTACAGGCAATTTACTTGAACATCACCAATATCCTTTGTGTGGTTGATAAACTTTCCCTGAATGTTTCAAAAAACTATCTTCTTGTGTAATTTTAGTTAAAAAAAAATGAGTTATTCCAGGCTCTTTTTTTTTTTTTTTTTTTTTACATGCTCTAGGATAACTACTTGCCCTTTTTAATGTTTAGGGCTGTTTTAGACTTCATAAATTAGCAGTCTTGCTTAAGAAGGCCTTCAGTGCTGACTTGTCTGTGAATGACTGTGATAAGCACAATGAGAAGCTATTGGAATGAAAACACACTCCAGTGAAGAGAACTGTTGCAGGGAAGAGTTAAGTTTCATTCATTCAAATGTGCTCTTTCATAAATGCAACAGGCATTTGCTAGAGGGAGTAGGATCTCTAAGGCTCTGTTGGAGGGGGTAGGGATGGGAGACTTTTCAAGACAATAGATTGTCAGGTGTTATGCAAATAAAGCAAGGAAAGTCTGGGCTTTACACGTACACAAGATGATACATCAGTTATTACTTAGAAAACATTTTTTCCTGCCTTAGCGGTTCATTATTGTTTCCTTCTTAATGAAGTGACTGGGGTGGGGGGCGGGTGGAGAAGAGGGGAGTAGGCATAGCTCAGGGTTGGAGGAAGTGGTGAAGAAAGAGAATGGAGTGGAAGGTTCCTGGCTTCTGTTGTGGCGTCTTTTCTATTTGACTTCATGGTTGTAAGTATTTCCAGATGGTGAATCAGACACCAGACGTAACAATATTTCCATATTTGGGTATAGCAGTAGCCTGCGTTTTTAACATTTTTCTGCCTCTGTTATCCAACCACAAAGCATTCTTGACAGCTTCAAATGTTGTTAAATATAGATTTAACTTCTGTTCCCAGAGCAGGAAATTCTTTGGAATTCCTTGTTTTTCACGCAATCTATCATGATTTAAAATAAAATTACAGTGGATGATCCAACTGGCCATAAGTACCTTGTTCCTTTATTGGGAGTTGGGGGTGGGGAATGGCAAAGAGATCCAGTTTGCCTCACAGCGTTCAAACACGCCATTCCAGAGATTCCTTTAAAAATCACATTAAAGTTTTCTAACAAGGGTGTGTGGGTTTGTTTCTGGACTTCAACTGGGGAATCTTGGAGGATGAGTTTGCCCCAGAGGAGAAACTTAGAGAACCTCACCGTCAGCTGCCCATTTAAAGCAGGGGGTGTGTTGTGGGAGGGGGGTGGGAAGCTGGAGCAACAGGGCCAGGAGGTGGGGGAACGGGGGAGACTGGAGTAACCTATGTGCACAGCTTTCCATATACCATGTCCTGGTGCGCCTGCTAGTAAACGACATCAGGCTAAAGGAACAGCGGCTCCTCACGTCCCGTCCAAGGACGGTCCAGAAACCCCAGACGTCCCGTCGCCTTCTCGCCTCTTCTGCTGAGAGCTACAGACCAGTTCACGTTGACCGACAGGAGGGGAAATTTGCAAGTGTTTATGAGTAAGTGTTGCTTCGAGTGCTCATTCTGCATGGCTCTTTTGCTCGTTTTCCCCCCACCCTGCCATACGGGTGCCCCAGGAGGGAATAACGGGCTGCCTTGTTTCCTTGGGCTGCAAGCCACGGAGAAGGGGCTGCTTGTCTTCTCCAGCTCCTGGATTCAGGCTGAGCGGTGGGGACGTCTCTCACCGCCGCTGCCAGAGAATTTTGGGTTACCTAAAGAAGGGTTCACTGTCTGGCAGCAACTGAGAATAATAACAGTAAACCCTGTGACTCTGATTCCTAGCCCTAGACCTAAAGGTTCTTAAGCTAGCGTCCATCAGGATCACCTGGAGGGCTGGTTAAAAGACTGATTGCTGGGCCCCACCTCAGGGTTTCTCGTTACATTCCTATAAAGACCCTAGGTGATGGTGATGCTGCTGGTCCGAGATCACATCCTGAGAACCACTGCCCTGGACGACAGGAGTGCCTGTAATAGCAGAGAGAGAGAGAGAGAGAGAGAGAGAGAGAGAGAGAGAGAGAGAGAGAGAGAGAGAGAGTGTGTGTGTGTATGTGTGTGTGTCCTCATAGTCAGATACTCGCCTACACACCCAGTCTCACAACTCCACTTTTTACAGCCGCCTTAGTGAACAGAGCAATTTATGGTGTTTGCAAAAGGCCAGCTTTAAGTTGGCGCCCCCGCGCCGTCCCATTTCTCTCCTCCACCCTTTGCCCACTCCCACCCCCTTGGCGTGACCGCCAGAACAGCCAGAGGAAGCCGGGATTAAGGTGGCGACGGTGGGAACTGGGTGGAAGACACGCGGGGAGGGCCTCAGTGCGCCCCAGGACCCCTGCGGAGGCAGCGAGCAGCGGCCGCACAGCGGGAGGGCCCAAGGCGGGAGGCACCGGGACGCGCCCGGCCGCCCGCTGCCGCCGCCCCCTGCCGGCCGCCGGTCCCGCGCTCCCGCAGTCACCTCGGTTGCCAGGACTCGAGGTTTCCGGCGGCGCGCGGCGCAGGACGTTTCCAGCCCCGGCCCATATTTGGTGAAAGTCTTTCAAGACTCCGTCATCCAGCTCCGGGGGGCGGCGGCGACAGCGGCCCTGGGAGTGGGCTGGGCAAGCGCGCGGCCGCCGCGTTCCTGAAAAGTGCACCGCGGTTGCCCGCGCCCGGCTGCGGGCAGCGAGGGACCCCGGGCGTTGCGGGAGCGCGGGCTCGCTGGCGGCGGGGGGACGGCGGCGGCCCAGCCCCAACCCTCACGCCTCTGGGGACTGAAGTCCGCCCCGCGCTGCGTGGGAGGCTGGCGCGGAGGGCGCCGCGGCCCGATTGTGTCACTTTTCCCGTCCACCCCACTGTTGACTCGTCCTCCCAGCGGGGCAGCGAGTTGCCGCGCCGTGCCAGACTTGGAGGGTACGCCCAGGCGCGGGGGTGTGCGGGGTGTGTGTCGGAGGACGGCCTTTGCTTAGACACCGAGCGCACCCAAGAGCAGGGACATGGAGTTGACTCTAGGGGAAAGCCCCAAAGGGCTTGAGTCCCATCATCCCCAGAAGGGACACATGCTAGAGCTGGTTCTCGCTTTCTCCTGGTCTCCCATAACCTCTTCCTCTCTTTCTCTTTGGGAAGTTCCGTGTGTTGGGGGAGCCCTGGAAAGGCAGGCCTGGCTCTGCCATCCACTACTCTGGGGCCTTGAGTAAGCTGCTCGTCCTCTCTTGTATGCTTCCTCCGTAAATTGGGAAAGGAGGCAGCGGGTAGCAAAACCACAGCAGCTCCTTTTGGGACTACATCTCATGGCATCCCCTTCTAAGAATGACAGAAAGAAACACCTATATAGGGTTCGCTCTATGTTGGGCACCTATTGGAATGCCTGCTGTATATTGACTCATTCAATTCTCCAATGCCCCACTGAGGCAGGTCCTCTTGTTAACATAATTTTCTATCTAAATGAAGAAGTGGAGGCATAGAAAGTAAGTGACTAGGCAAAGATCACTCACCTAGTAGGTAGCAGAACTGGATTTGGACCCAGGCATCTTGGTTCAAAGGGATCTTGCACTTAACCACTGTGCTCCACTGGCGACTGGCCATCTCTTAACTCAGATGGTCAGGCCTGTTTCATCTCTCCTGGAACTTTACCTTTATTTAACTCTGTTGCAACTACCTAGATAGGCTAGGAGAAATGCATCAGATATAATAAAAAATAGTTGTTAAGTTAACAGAAGCTTTGCTAATCCCTGAGAATTGCCTTATGTACTAGCTCTTAAGGAGGAGGGCGGAAGGGGCATTGCATTTTAACAGGAAAAGCCTTAGAACAAATTAGTTAATGACGTGGACTTTTAGGTATGTTGGTAGGCTGGTAGGGAAGATATT